AAAAAAAAAAAAAAAAAAAAAAAATATACTAACTCGGTTTTTAGTTGCGTAACGAAAAATCGAAAAATGGGTTATTATGAAAATCTTGATAGCTTGATATGATTTTCAACCGATCAACCGCACCGCATTGCAGTTCAATGCCGAATGAATGTACGCTGTTAATCAAAACTGAATCATAAACATAATTTTTTTTATTAGAAAGTATAAAATCATCTTTTCATTAGTAACTTGGGGTAGGCCATCAACAAAGTACATTTTTCTACCAAGACATTTATAACTTTCTTAAAATTAGAAGAATGAGCTAACGAATTATTCGAATTATTGAAATTAGTCTTCGCGAAATTCATGGCCCGTGACTTTGTAATCTATTTGTAATTTGAGGTTAAGAAATTTTCTGCCAGTACTTTCATAAGTTTCACGTGATAAATGAGAACTACAGACATTTCTCTCGCGCGTGATAGTAAATTTAAGACTCGTCCTTCGTAGTCTACATGTAATCAATTCGACGATCCTTAAAATAAAAATGGTAAATTTAAGATAAAGGTGTCGAAATAGAATTTTCAAGGTACATTCAGTATTTCTTCGTTCGTGATCAAATATTATCAATAAGAATGATTGATGTAAAAGGATGGACAATTCTTTTTAGACGTATTTTGATTGGCAAACTTTATAATGTATTTTATATAAATTCTCGTATACTATTACTTTCTATACATATTGTACTTGAGCATAACATATCGGGCTCGTGATCTTTAACCAACATATGACACATGCGGGTGTTGTAAATGTGTATCGAAAAATAAAAATGTGTAAATACACAGCTTAACAAGAGACCAGATTAAATTTTATTATTATTAAGTAATAAAGTAATAAGTGCCAGCTATGCAACTCGTACAAAGAAATAACTTTTACTGAAAATGGATGAAAACCCGATAAGATCTAAACCCCTACAGGATTCTGCTTTTGTGGGATAAATTGATATTTTTATCAGCAACTTCGAAACATTCTTTCCGTTGAGTCTTGTTTTTGGTGTTCTTGCTCCTTCATTGTGAACAGAGTTCAGAGATAATTATTTGATACAAATAATACTTTGACTTCTTATATATACACCATTATGACATCCTAAAATTAGTCAAAATTTAAAATAATTAGAATATAAATAAATAATTAAATTAAATATTCAAAGATATTCTTACCATTATAAATGATTCATCATGTAAATTTGAATCTAAACCTGTAATTGGCATAATTTTATATTAATCAAAAATCAAAAAAAAAAAATTATTCATGTGGAAAAATATGACTCACAAAGTCTTACCTTTGATTTAAATTGAGAAGATGCATAAACTTTGTTTTCTAAGGAATCGTATTTTTCATTTATTACGCTGATTCTTTTTTCTACTTTATTGTCCAAGAAATTCATTCATTTATTAACGAGATCGAGTTTAGCCTCGAATATTCTACTCATCATCTCATAGTGGAAATCTGTGTGAATCCCGAATTAATCCTTTCTCTTAGAGTTTCGTTCATCATGATAATTTATAAAAAAATCAAGATGTTATTATGTGAAACAGGTGGCATCATTTAAAGTTACTGTACTCAGTAGCGTAAGCCAACATGGATATAATACTCTAATAAATTTATGAGATTAACCCAATTGGTAATGAAATCTAAAGATACAGATTTGTTAATTACCAACTGATAATTATACAGTATAAAATTTGGGGAGGAATGTTAGACTTGCTATTTTTGAAGGTGTTTTTGAAACATACTACATACTTTTTACTGTTAAAAATATAATATCCAATAAATAAAATACTAACAGCTAAGGTAACTTCAATTTTAGCAGGAAAACTTCTTTGAGAATATACATTGTGTCCTTTTTCATGTTATGATTCCAAAAAGAAATTAGATATATAACCTACTGAATAAAACAAAGCATAGTTAATGTCAGAGTGTACTTTGAAACATCTAAAGTATTTAAAATATGAAAAAATTGTTTTGTATATATTTACCTTTTCATGGTTGAGACTACAGTAAATCTGGAATTGCTCAGAAGTAAAATTAGTAAAATTCACATTTTCGTCGGTTCTGCATAAATCATGTGAAATTTTGTGGCTTATCTGACTTTTCCTAAAGCGGGGGGATTTTTTAAATTTTACCCCACATTTGTCAATTTTAGCATCCTGCTGTTGTGTTGGGTTATTTTGTCCCTCCATTATTTCTCCGTTGTATTTATAGCCAATTACGTAATTAACGAACCGGTCGAACCGTGGTAGAAATTTATTTCTATTTTTTAAGATCATATATTATATTATTGCGTCACACAAAAAAAAATTATATGTATAACCTTTAAGATTCTATCAGATTTATCAATTATATTAATCAAATGAATTGTTGTTTTAAAAGCTTCTTTTTTAGCTTTTTATAAATTTTTAACTTTCTTTTTCATATTAATTTCTTTCTATTTGCTTCAAATACAAAATTTCCTTATCGTTTAACTTAATAGTTTCATTAAATAATAATAGATTTAGTTGATAAATGTTACTTTTTAAAATCAATAATTAATTCTTGAATTCATCCCATTCTTTATATATACACGTCTTATTTTTATTATTTTTTACTTATTTAAGTTATCAATGCATATAACTTTCAATATTATTCCCTAATTATATATATATATACATATTTTTTAATGAGATTTTTATTTTTGGAATAATTTATTAATTAATTTATTTTGTATAAATATAAAATTACAAATATCGGATACTTTTGATTTCCGACTAAGTCAACAAGAAAAATCGTCCTTTATGTCGCAAATATTATTCAAACATTCGACTAGATCTGTTGTATCGTAACGTGCTTCTTTTGGCATTCCAACAAGTTTTAAAATACCATCCACAACGACAAAAAACGGAATGGCCATGGTGAGTACAATTTTAAGAAAGTATCATCCATTGTATCTGCTAGTACAGGAATTTCTAACTGGGTTTCTTTAACCATTTCACGAGCAGCAGCTAAACGATCAGATAATGTGCGATGCTCCTTAACATCTACAATATTACCAATGGGCCAAACATCAGAGGCATGTGCTTCTCGAATTTGAATCATATAAAAATCTACTTGTGATTTGTATCGAATATATATATCATTAAGCACATGAGATATGTATCGGTATAAAGGACAAGTATATGATCCACCAAGAAGAACGAGAGGCCGTCCTGATTTACAAAGTGAACGTAAAGAGACTAAGGCTGGCGAAGTAGTATTAGTGTTACCAATTATTGCTGTAAACATTGAAGGTTCTAGAGGAACCAATGGACAATCAGGTGCTTGTATTCCTTCAGTAAGATTTCCAATATTAGCAATATTGTTGCGAACATATACTTGAGTTGTACGGAATTCAGGATCATCTAGACGATGGGAAAAATATGTAAGATCAAATATTGTAAAAAAAAAAGTTGAGGAAGAAAGATGAGAATACTTTTCTACCTGGATAAAGTTGTGGTGCACGCCGCAATAATTGTACTGCTTCATCCGAGTATCCAAACTCTCGAACTAATTCATGCTGCATCTCATCAGTAACATCCATCCAGTCTTTGCCACACGTTGGATCATTCCCAACTTCATAATACTTTTTTTGTATTTCAGGTGACAACCTCCGACGCTCTTCTTCACGTAGGAGAGTTAACAATTTCTCTTTCGTGTCTGGTAGTATTGGGGAGATAGTAACAGAGGCAACAGGGGGACCTTTTGGAAACTCTTTCGGGTCTAAGGGATTCAAGATTTTCAGAAAATGATGTTGCACATTATGAAGCAAGTTGGACGTTTTAATACAATTAAAGCACAAGTCATAATCGGGACATTCCGAACATTTAAATCTGTAAAAAATTAAAAATTAAGCATTAGTGAAGAAAAAGGACATTCAAAGCTTATTAAAATAAATTGTGTATTAACCTCGTTCCTTTCCATTCACTTTTACCACAATAATTACAAGTAATACCAGCATGGATTCCATTTTGTAGACGTTCTTCTGGTGTTAACATATATTGCGTGAGTGCTGGCAATGCATCAAATTCTTTGCGGCCACTGGTTTCTACAAACATTCCTCCACGTAGTCTAAGTACAAGATGAATTGTGCACTCTTTTTGGATATAATAATCTGACAAGGTACGTCCTTCTTCTAATTGCGTGCCAGCAAAAATAAGGCGTTGTTGATCAGGAGGAATTCCTTCTTTGTCATAAATCTTACATTTAAGTTTGTCAATTGTATCACTCGAAGCCGTCTCCAATGTTAATGTTTTTCCAGTTAGTGTTTTCACAAATACCTGACCGGAAAATAGAAATTGTTGATGTAGAAGCAATATGGACTCATTATTAATATTTTTCCGTGATAAAGAGTCCCAGTTATACAGTCTCAAGCCATACTGAATGTTAGGCGAATTTTTATCTAAATATAAACAATGTCGATCAGAAGGGATGCCTTCTTTATCCTGAATTAATTGTTTGACCTGTCCGATGGTGTAATCTCTCTCTACATCTAGCTTTATGGTTTTTCCGCTCCTCAATTTTATATATATCATTATTGTTTTATATTCTAGATGCAATGTATACTCCTCTTTGATTTTGTAATACGAAACGAGATAATGGTCATGCATTACTAGCCCATCAAAAACAAGATATTGTTGATCAGAAGGGATACCTTCTTTATCCTGAATCATTTGTTTAACCGTTTTGATTTCATGATCTCCCCTTGTTTTTAGCTCTATGATTTTTTCGTTCATTATTATCACATATAACTTTATTTCTTTATATTCTAAATGCACTGTAGACCCCCTTCGAATATTATAATATGACAAAGTATTCTGGTCATGTAATTCATTATCAGCAAAAATAAGACGTTGTTGGCTGGGAGGGGTATCTTCTTCATCCTTGATCTTTTGTTTGATTTGTTTAACTGTTTCGTTTGCCATTGTTATCAGATTTATGATTTTTCCGGTCTTAAATTTCACTTGAATCATTGATTTAATGTTTAAATAAAGTATGGCATTTTTACTGATTTTATAATATAATAGGGTACAGTAGTCTTGTAATTCAACATTGTTGAAAGTAATACGTTGTAAATCAGGGTGAATACCCTTTTTATCCTGGTTCATTAATTTAACTTGGGATATGAAATCATTTTCCGTTGATTCAAGCTTTATGATTTCTCCAGTCTCTGTTTTCACGTAGATAAGCAGTTCTATAGATCTTAGATGCAACGTGGACTCTTTCCGGATATTGTAATATGAGAGGGTATAATGATCTTCTAATTCAATGTCATCAAAAATAATACAATGTTTGTCGAAGGAAATGCCTTCTAAATCCTGAATCATCTCTTTAATCTGAATGATAGTGTCACTCCAATGTACTTTCAGTTTTGTTATTCCGGTATGTGTTTTTACATAGATTAGCATTGAACTCCTTGCTTCAGTTGGTGTTGATTCAAACTTTGTTAGAGAAATTGGATTTTTACATTCGCTCGTTACTGCCTCAACTAAATCTCCTTCCTAAAGTTAAATAATACCACAATTCATTAGCACAAACATAAAAAGAGTCTTTTGTGACTATCGGATAATCTCTACAGATATCTACCTTGATTCCCAGTTCTTCAAGCGTATCGGCGGGTTTTATGTCTTTTTCAAGGTACACAAGCTTACAGGACTCGTTGTAGACACCATTCGGCCCAACGCAATTTTGGAAGCTATTCAACAATACCTCTCCGGTAGTATATGTAGCTACATTTGCTACATATACAGAACCCGTACAGTAGTACTTAATGCGGATAGGAAAAATGGGAGCAGGGTCAAGTAAAGTGGTCAAGAGCATTTTGTTGAGATGATGTTTTTTTTTGGCAAAAATGACCCTTATAAATGAAATCTGGACGATCCGACAAATTTGGTAATCGATATAGATGTTACATAGCAGACACCGTAAAGTCCCAATAATAAGCACATCTTATTTGTAGTATTTATGTGCTTATTTTCGGAGGGTGCTTATACTCGGGACTTTACAGGTTACTTTTTTGCACAAACAAATATTATCACAACCGTAACAAAATTCGAACGCAGTATCTAAATGAAAGTATAGATGAATCAAAAAAGAAGCAGCAGATGATTGAATCCGTTATGAGTCCGGATAAACCTAAAATCTGCGATTTTATTGGCTGACGATCACGCGAATGGACACAAAATTTTCATAGTAGGCATACACCTTAGACAAAACGTGATAGTTCAGAAAATTCTATCCTGATATGAAGCGTCCATTATGAAGCGTCCATCAATCAATAATTGAATCCGAAACGTAGTATAACAATTTGATTCGTGATCCGGATATCTATGAGCGTTAAATTATAGATTTTTAATATATCCGATTTATATGGAATACTTTATGGATATTGTATTTACGGCTAATGCAGATCATCCTCATTGATATTCATTCAATATTGTACGCAAATAAACTATCGATATTCATTCAATATTTTACGCAAATAAATTATCGATATTCATTCAATATTGTGCGCAAATAAACTATTGATACCAATATTGTACGCAAATAAGCTATTGATATCAATATTGTACGCAATTACGCAAATAAACTATTGATATCAATCAATATTTGTACGATAATGAAAATATCGGACAAATAAAATCAGCATGATCCTTATAGGGCCGTGTGATAATAATTAAAAATGATTTTCTGAAAATTCATTCATTTATATACAATAAATTTTCATTAAAATTTAATATTGGTAAAATACTCATACTGTACAGTATACACTACTTTTAAATAATTTTTGATTGGGCATTTAACATTTTCGATCTTTAAAAACGCGAAAAAAAAAGTGATGATCTTTACTTCCTTTAGTAATAAAAAAGTATTTATATTTTTTTTTTCCACAGTTTGTTCTGCAAAAATATCAAACATTATGTACAACCCTACCCCAAAATCGTTGTTTGTAAACCTATAAAAATGAAATTATTATTATTTTTTTTTTATTTATCACGATAAATAAATTTATTTTTAAATAAATATTTGAAATAATAGTACAAGAATTATAAAATATTTATAAACAAATATGAAATAAAATTAATTATAAGTGAATATTAAAATTAAGTTTGATAATGATTTATTGATTGGTTAAATTATGACTGATCATCCAACAATTGGTTCATGGTCAGGTTATCACCATAACGGCATGACCGTATGGGCATGAGTTAAAACATTTTATATATACAGCATTATAATCAGAGATGTATTTTAATGTTTTTAATTTATGGTACTGTACGTCGAGGATATCATCATCCTTTCCTATCATTTTATCACATTTTATCACGTTCCTTCATATTACTAACTATTATGAGAAACGGAATATTTTTTTTTGGCGTGAAAAATCCCTATTTATCACCCGTATACTGCATCATACATAACCTAGTGAAGTAGGGCAGCGAAGGGGTTTAGATAACAATATCCAGCTATTTAATATGTTAAATATTTAATAATGTCTTGACAAAATATTATAATTGATTTTTTTGTCATAATTGATATATATAACAAATATAAAATATAACTCTTATCGGTTATATTTACTGGTACATGATTGTTTTCTCGCGTATAACCTTTTTAAAGAAAGAAAAAAAAAAAAAAAAAAATTTTTTTTTTTTAAACAAAATCATTCGAAAATAATAAAAATAAATAATAAATAAGTAAAACAATAAATACCTAATAGATTTACAATATGTTTTATATTGATTTATTTCTTTTATCATCATATTAATTAATTCGTCAAATTTTCTTTCAGAAATTTTCATTCGTAAACATAGATTATGTTTATTAAGTATAATAGGATTAAGTAAAATTTCACCCAACTATATTAAAAAAAAGAAAACAAAAAAATTAGTTAAAGAAAAAAAAAAAAAAAAATTATTTTTTTTACTGATTTGACGAACTTACGAATTCACTAACTCTTCCACCATAACTTCCCATAGGAGTTTCTCTAGTTTGTTTCCGTATGCACGAAATATCTTTCCTTGAAATTAAGTATCGTTCAAAATACGAATATTCAATATAATTAATGCCAGACGATGATAAGAATTCAACATCTATAAAGTAGAATATTAACGGTTAAAAAAATAAAATTTATGAATATGATTCAATGACTAGAATTAATTTTTTTAATACTTACATGAATTTTTCACGTATTCAGTTATTGGACCAAGATTGTACCATTGTTTTTCAATTATCATAAATTCCATCCATCCTCCAGTTTTTAAAACTCTTAAAAGTTGATTTAATGTGTTAAAAGGATTATGTAAAGATTGCGATGATGGACTTATGAGTGATGATTTATGATATACAAGATCGAAAGTTTCGTCAGGAAATGGAAGACTTGTGGGCGTTGAAGTCATTTGTAAAACGGCAGCATTACGTGGTTCGGAAAGTTTTGAAGAATAATATGAGGTTAATTTAGAGTAAGAAGCAGCTGTTATGGCGGAAACGTTTTCGATGCCTATGAATGTTGAAGAAGGATATTCCGATGCCATATCTAATGTCCATACTGACGGACATGATCTTTTTTTTTTATAAAGAAAAGTATTTATATTTATTTATACGATATTTAATATAATATATATATATATACGTAAATTTATTAATACATACCCAACTTCAAGCACTTTAACTCTTCCTCTAGAAAGTTGATGTTGCATAGGAACCGAAAAATTACCATTCCAAATTATTCGAAATAGATGATGTTGAATATCTAATCGATTAATATCTTTTTCATTAAATTTCATAACGGAATTTCTTATTTCGACATTCTCAATCGAATAATTATCAGGTGAAATTTTATTTAAATTTTGAATTTTTGACGATGATAATATAGAAGCTTGATTCAATTTACATGATTTTTCTTTATGCATCATTTTTGTATTTGAAGTATTAAAAGGATTTAAAAGACAAATTGTCATTTTAATATATGATCGAAATGATTTTAATTTTTTAAATATTTCGTTGGAAGAAATGAATTCAGTGTATTTTCGGGAGGCGGACATTAAAAAAAAAACCCCTCTTTTGTCGGTATATATATAAGTTTTATTGAACTCTGGTAAAGAATAGAAAACTATGGTAAAATTCTTCCTTCATTAATGTTATTATGTTTATTATGTTTATGTAAACAGTCTAGATTCTTATATGAATTCATTAAATATAAAGGTGTAACATGTTTATTCATTTAAAGTCAAATATTTATTTATTTATGCGAAATTTTTAATTTAACAATAAAATCACAGTAAAATTTATCCATGAGATAAATAAATCCCAATAACACTTGTAAATAATAAGTTTTTTTCAAGAAAGTATGACTTCAATTAGACAATTATTGGTACAATAATATTAAATATAGAATGATGATCTTTTTTGTTTAATAATAAATCATCTAATTTTGGTACTATAGGCTTGTGTTTTTAAAGGTATGCACGCCACATAAAATCTCGATGCTCAATATGTGCATATCAGACAAACAAAGATTGCTGGAGTGCTGGACGGTTTTTTTTTTCTTTTTTTCTTACTTTCGTTCTTTTTAAGAAAAAACAACAAGATAAAATATTTATTCATATATTTTTAAAGTTGAAATTCTATTTTATAACAAAATGTGGGTTTTTTTTAAAAAAAAAAAAAAATAATAAAAGTAAAATATAATTAATACCTATAATTACTAGTACTTTTTGTTACATAATTAATAATTACATTAATACTTAATAAAATATAACAAACCAATTTGAACAAAATGAGAAGAAGGTTTTGAACTTTAATTTGAAACTGATTTATGTGAGTAGTTATTGAATGGATTAAAAAATATTAACGTAAATTTGCTTCAATAAATATGTAAACAAATATGCATAATATAAATAAATGTGCCCTAAAGAATTTTTTTTATAATTTTAACCGTTTTTGATGATAAAATATTATGCTTGTTACCGAAGATCGTTCTTTTTGAATCTAGATTCCTACACAATAATTACAAATCAATATATCAAAAAATGGAATTGGAAAGGATGGATTCAATTATTTTTCTCTTGTTTACTTAATAGCATATAAAACTGCGAATCATTATTATTCATTTTCCAAATTTGTCAATCTTACCCAAAATATCGCAAATAAATAATGATGTGTGAAAAGCTCTGGACCTTTTTTTTATTATTTCCATAATGAGTCATTTTTCTTATATAAACTTCGTATCTAATTTCCACTACTTCTTATATAACCTTATTTTGTTATATCCCTACAGTTTCCGTTATCATATATTGGTTTTCTACATATTTGGTATTGATAATAGTATACTATAAGTATTTATACTATACAATATAATAAATATATGGATAATATTTTTTTTAATTTCCGACACATGTAAATATATTAAAAATAAATAAATGAATAATCAACGTTATATTAACGAATTATTAGAGTATTATATTTTAAAATTCCGAATAGTATTAACCATATTTATAATAAACCCTGTATATGTATTTATATTAGAAATAAATAATTTATTTTTATCTAAAAAAGAATTTAACTATAAATTTATAAAGTTTTACCAGTTCATTTTTTACTTAGGACCTGAGACGGAATACACGGAACGTAGATATTCTGTTTATTTGGAACGTTAAATCTAGATGCATTGTTAGAAAAAACAATTCATTTATCTCACATCAATGAATATTGGCCTAGATTTTATTTTATTATTATTTATTGAGTAAAATCCTAAAAATTGTTCGTTAAAATTTATTATATAATTTAAATTGGTAATATTTTAATAAATTTTTAATCAAAACTTAATAAAAATTTTAATAATATTTCTTACTAAATTTATTTATTTAAAGGATAAATTTATCCTAGATTCATAGCTGTAAAGGTGAGGATCATAGCGCGGGCCTTTCCTTTTTTGGATAATTTCGGCCGGAATTATCAAATTTCGGCCCTGAAGAAGCGCGTATATAATCCGATTGTGTTTATCATAGACTCTGACCTGCAGCAGTACGATTGCCAATTTTATTAAGTAAACGTTTGCTGATCTAAATATTTATTTTGTGTAAAAAAAATTTTTTAAGATTGTAGAGTCTCAACATGCCTATTCTAACATTGGTAAACATTTAACCTGTGTTATAAAAGGAAGCCCTTCTTGGAATTATTTTTTACGATTGAGGCACGTGTCGTAACACCGTAAAATCGTTGAATGTCGAATGTCGTAAATGGCGTAAATTTTTATGCCGTAAATAGATACTCGTGAAACGCTTTTTAATTTTTATGATAACGTCATAAATTTGCAGCATTATATAATACGCCACACGCACTTAATAGTATGTTAACTTAGAAATTGTTACTTATTACAATATTCCTTAATCGTATATTACTGCTTGACTCTTAATCACTTAAAAATGTACGCAACGTATTAATATAAAAATTAAATCAGTTATAAAATAAAATTCTCTACATTTCGTTATATACTTTTCGTTATATACTAGATAAATAAAATATAAATTCGACGATATTCAACCGCAGCGTAACCAATTAAATTACAATTTAGATCACATGATTCCTTATTATGCCACATGATTTCTTATTAAGTGTAACGTAAGACTTAACGTAAGAGCCCAAAAATTACGTCATGACCTTTACATAATATTATCATACGACTTCTTTCATGTGACTTTTTTATTCAATAATTCCATACTTCTGAATTTTGACCAATAATATACCTCCACAGCCCCATAAAAAAGGTCGATCCGTTTTTTTTATATTCCATCTTTTTTTTCTCGAATTAATAATAACCTTATATCACGGAATTTATCGAATTATTTACATTTTCCTTGAATGGATCCGTAAAAGGTTCATTTTTACGGAACTTTTTCAAAAATAACGAATAAAATTTTTTATAGGGCAGGTGAAAATCTAGCCAAATATTATATTTATTTATTCCGTCATTATTTCGAATTTCGAAGTTTGTTTCATCATTAACCGTATTAATGATGCTCTTAAATTTTTTCAAAGAAAAGAAAAAAAAGGAACAAACAAAAAAGGTAGATATTAGATATTCTAAACCACTTCCACCAGAAATAGTTCGACTGATTGTCCTTTATTTAAAAAATGATAAAAAATCTCTTCATTCATGCTTATTAGTTTCTCGAAATTGGTGCAGAGAAACTGTAGATTTATTATGGAAACAACCATTTCATTTCTTATATACTTGTAATAAAATAAACTCTTCAGTTACTTCACAATCTAGAAAATCTAAATTATATAATCAACAATATTGCTGTTCAAATGAGAAACGACAATATCAAGCTACTAATTTATTGATGACCTATTTATTAATTAAACATGATAAAGAATTCATTGAAGAGGGAATTATTAAAGCGGAAAGTGAAAGAATTACTTTTAATTATTTCGAATTTTTATTTGTATTGGATTTGCATGAATTATATTATGCAGTTAAAGATTGGAATCGATGGAATATGCCAATTTCAAAATTCAACATAGATAACCCTTTACCTCTAAAATTTGAAAGTATAATTAGATACTTTATTATGAATACATCAAAGTTACAAGTACTTTCATTAGATACAGAATTTATCCTTTATGAATTTAACAACAAAAATCCTTGTTCATTTCTTATTGACGTTAAAGTAAGTAAATATGATAATAATAACGAATATTTTAGTTACCGTGATAATTACATTCTTAAGTTATTAATTAAAGAATCGAAATCTATCCAATTTTTTCAATTTTTTGATAATTTAACTGAACTTATATTAACTATAAAGGAAAATAAATGTGAAATATTCCTTTTTCTTTCACAAATTTGTCATAATATTCAAAAATTAATCACTAAAACTGATAATCGTAATAGTACTTGTGAATCTAATTCTCTTATTTCTTTAATTAGAACTCAACATAATTTAGTTCATTTTGAGATATTTGATGTTCCAGAAATGTATATAAATGAAATTTTAGAATCTTTAAAATATTCTCAACATAATTCATTAAGAACTTTAATTCTTAATAATGTACGGATTATTTATAATAGTACTATTTTATCTTACCTAAAATATTTACAAAATTTGCAAGAATTAAGATTTAATAATTGTATGTGTAGAAGAAATCTATTTTTTGATAATGAATATAATAAGAAAGATATATTTGATGAAGAAAAAAATTATGAGGAAGGTTTATGGTTACCTAATCTTAAATATCTTCAAGTAAATTTTATTGATGAAAATGAAGAAGAATTTAATGAATTATCATTTATTCTATCTTCAATTTTAACTAGATGTTCTCCTTTAATAATTAGTAATAATATTTAACAATTTTACTAAACCATAGTACCAATGGTGTTTACTATTATTAATATTGGTACATATTTACTACTGTATACATATATTTTTATAATATTTTTAAAATAAATTTTATGCAATAAATTAAAATTCATAGGCTATGATTTATAAGATTTTACATTATTGATTATAAACTTATTAAAGGATTTTAAGGTATATATTCAAAAGTATAATATTAAAACTTTAACCAAAAGGTGGTACCCATCTCCTATAATAGACATCAGTTTCAAGTGAACATCTGTTCGTTTAATGAAGTAGGTATCAAATAATTAATAAAAGAAACCAACCTGCTTAAACTTTTTACTATGATAGGATAATCAAGGTACACAGACTAAAACTAAAAGTATACAAGGCGCTCAGGTTGAGGACTGAATCGGCAACTTTTTAAATCAATAAAAGATATAAAAAATTTAAAAAAAAAATATTAGTAAAAAGAGACCAAATATCACTATATTAATAATATAATTTTGTAAATTTCTTTGGTATTTTTGATATTCTGAAATTGTTATTTTTTAAAAGTTATTACTAAATTTATTGTAAATTTTTTTTATTTTAAAGGTAGATAATACCATGGAATTCTTAAATATTTATAATTTTAACGACCTACTAGTTTATTGATATTGGCGAAATCTATGTCGATCATTTATTAATATCACGTGATGCCGAAAGAACTCAGTTAATTGCAAAAAAAATTAATATTTCATTAACTACCTAATAAAATTTATTAAATTTATATTCAAAAAGAATATAGATAACCACTCCAATAATTTTTTAATCACTTATTAATATTTCTAAATAATATATGTAAATAAATTTAAAGAAAATAAATAATTTTATTCAAATATTGAAAACTTAATATCTTCATAAATTTCTAACATACATAACTTTTACTTGCAGAATCTCTTACTTTTGTCCTTTAATTTCATTATGAAATCACAAGATTCTAATCATTACTTCACAAAATATTTGATATTTTATATCTAAATAGTAATACAAAGAATATATGAACACTAAAAAAAATTAAATGATATTAATAATAAGTTTTATTTAATTATTGAATTCTCAATAAAATTTTTGATAAATTTACTACTATAAATGCACTATCTATTTGCGAAGTATCAGAAAGTTTTAATTAATTTAAAGATAGGGTATTTAGCGGATTCGCAACTTACCTTAGAGGATTCGCAGTTTCTCACAACTTTTTACTTGCTTTTTGGTTTAATTTTATGAATAAACTGTGACAAAAACTATACTATTTGATAGACCTTAACTCTAAAAACCAAAGAGCAAAGTTTTGTTCAAGTTTCGTGGGTCAAAAAATTTTTTTACTTGTAACGAGTCTAGATTTGACGATTTTTGCCATGATCTTCATATTATCACGTGACTTGACATATCATACCCCTTAAATTATGTTATTCAATCAATAAATTTTGTTATTGATTTCTTAAAAATAATGTTATAAAAAAAAAATTTTTTTATTTTTCTAAAACTTGGTCATACTTTAAAAAATTCAGTTCAAATATTATTAATTACACGAAGAAGTTACTGTAATTAAATTTTGATGGATTCAGTAGTTAATAGGGGTCAAAATTGACGTTCTTATCAAATGTTTAATTCTGATAAATAAAATGTCACTACTAAGTAGTTATTGAATAAAAATTTTAATCAAACCTTTCAAAATATATAATCATCAAATCATGAATAAGAAAGATAATGTACTTTTATTTTTGTTCATTTAAAAAGAAACTTCTTTTTCATATGAACAGGACAACCCTGTAAAAAAAGTCGATCCATTTTTTATATTCCATCTTTTTTCCGTAAAAGGCCCATATTTCCGGAATTAATAGCCTTATATTATGGAATTTATCGAATTATTTACATTTTCCGAAAGGCTCATTTTTACGGAGTTTTTACAGAAATAACGGATAAAATTTCAATATTTGCAAAAAAAATAATTATTATATGATATAATAAAATATTCGTTAAACTCAAAATTGATATTTAAAGCTTCAAATCTTTTTATATACAATATCAGTCAGATATGTAAAGAAATGATACTGATACGTTGTCTTTTATAATTGTACTACCCGTAACTGTGCTTTCGCTAATCAGCAATGGATATAAATCGTTAATGTTACACTGTCGATTTTGCGGACCCTATATTACTATATATATGTAGTAATATATAAATTCCTAAACCTTTCATCAGTTTTAAACATCATTTTGCATATCCTATATAAATACCATATAAAATCGTTATGTCATAATTGTCATATGTACGACAGCATATTTCACTAATTAATACGTCGCAAAAATTAGTTTTTCTGATACTTTAGCGTCTTGAACGTCAGATCAGTTGTCTCATCGTCCAGTTGATCCAGTTAATTGCGAAAAATAAATGAAGAGGCTTTATAAGAGATTTTTTTTAGTAAAATAATGGAAATATTTTTTATGGTAAGTTTATTGCCTTAAAATAAAAAAGTTAAACCCTTAAAATATAAATTTTCATCGTTTAAATAAATAACTGCATAAAACTAAATGTTTTCTTTTTTTTCGTCCGCGTAATTTCTTATATCACGTGAGATCGGCAATTTGCAATCATCTAGATTCTAGAATGGCTGAATCACAAGATGTTTAAGGCGTTGTGATACGTTAATATTTTCCTTATCTGTTATTTATTCTGTCATTGTTTTGGGATTTGTTTCGTAAAAATGCTTCTTTTAAATTTTTTCACAAAAAACAACGAAAATAATGTTGGATATTCTAAAACACTTCCACCAGAATTAATTCGTCCGATTGTTCTTCATTTAAAAAATGATAAAAAATCTCTTCATTCTTGCTTATTAGTTTCTAGAGATTGGTGTAAAGAAACGGTAGATTTATTATGGAAACAACCATTTCATTTCTTATACACTTGCAATAAAACAAACTCTTCAGTTTTTTCACGGTTTAAAAATTCTAAAAAATATTGTTGTTCAAATAAGAAGCGTCAATATCAAGCCAATAATTTATTGATGACCTATCTATTAATTAAACATAATAAGGAATTCGTTGAAAAAGGAATTATTAAAGCGAAAAGCAAAAGAATTACTTTTGATTATTTCGAATTTTTATTTGTATTGGACTTTCATGAATTATATTGTACAATTAAAGATTGGAATCAATGGAATAAATCCAATTCAAAATTCATCAAAAAAAATGCATTTGAAAGTATAATGAAATACTTTATTACGAATACACCAAAGTTAAAAATACTTTCATTCGATCCAAAATTTATTTTCTATAAGATTAATAACAAAAATCCTTGTTTATCTCTTATTAAAGTAGATAAATATGATAAAGATGAAGTTAATGTTTATAATCATTTTAGTTACCGGGATAATTACATCCTTAATTTATTAATTGAGGAATCAACAATTCCTGAAATTACTCAATTTTTTGCCAATTTAACTGAACTTGTACTCACTGTAAGAGAAAGGAAATATGAAATATTCTCTTCCCTTTCACAAATTTGTTATAATATTCAAAAATTAATCATTAGAATTAATTATCATCCTATCTACACTTTTTGTGAAGCAACAGAGTTAGAAATATTATTTGAATCTTATTATCTTGCTTCTCTAATAAGATCTCAACATAATTTAGTTCATTTTGAATTATTTGATATTCCAGAAATGGGTAGTATAAATGAAATTTTAAAATCTTTAAAAGAATCTCAACATAATTCATTAAAAACTCTGATTCTTAATAATGCGCGGATTAATTATAACAGCAATATTTTATCTTACATAAAATATTTACAAAATTTGCAAGAATTAAGGTTTAATAGATGTATTTGTAATAGAAATGTATTTTTTAATAATAAGTATGATAAGAATGATATATTTGATGAAGAAAAAAATTATGAGGAAGATTTATGGTTACCTAATCTTAAATATCTTCAAGTAGATTATATTGATGAAAAAGGAGAAGAATTAAATGAATTATCATTTATTCTATCTTCAATTTTAATTAGATGTTCTCCTTTATTAAATAATGATATTTAACAATTTTACTAAAACCATATATACCAATGATGTTATATAATAGTAATTATGTATATTTTATAATTATTTTTTTTATTTATTATTTATATCACAAATAAAAAATAAATTTATGTAATAAATTATAAACATTCATAATTTTCAGTGGATCTAATTCTGCTTTAAGTAAATTATGTGAAAGATATTATCTATATTAAGTTTATAAGAATTAAAAATTGTATATAATTGATTATAAACTAATTAAGCAAGTTAAGGTATATTCAAAAATATAAAACCTTAACAAAAAGGTGGGATCTACTACACTCTTTCACCATAACAGATAATAGACATCTGAACATCTGTTTGTTTAATTATGTAGGTAATCAAATTATTAATGAAAGACCCATCTTAGCCCTACCTGATAAGTTAATAAATTATCAAGAAAAATAGGGAGACAAGACTAAACTTTGGTATATTACTGAAAGTGATAATTTTGGCGTCATGATTTCAGGTTAAGATTGAATTGACAACTTTTTAAATCATAAGCTATAAAAAAATTAAAAGGTCACTGTGTTAATATATATTTTTGTATTAATAGTCAGAAAATTTCACCCATTACTATTATTTTCGGTCAGAGAACTCCATATAACGAACCTTCCAGTTCAATAGAAAAAATTATTATATCAAAATTTATAAGTTTGGTATAACGATTTTTATATGTTCATACAGTATATAGAGATAAAATCTTAAAAAATCGCTTTATCTTGAAATTCGTTATATCGCATAGTCGACATTCGAGATTTTTAATTATAAAAAGTTGTTTGTGAATTTATTGTAATTTTTTTTAACTTGAAGATAAGTAATATCATAGAATTCTGGGAATATATACAATAAGCATTTGTAATTTTCGCGACCTACACAGTTTATTAACTTAAATTTTCAATAAATTGGCTATTGATCTCTAAAAGAAAAAATAGTGCTATGATATAAAAAAAATTTTTTTTTTTTTTCGAAAACTTTGGCTATACTTTAAAAAAAATTCAGTTTAAATATTATTAGTATCAGAAAAATAATAGAATGTTTTTAATTACACGAAGAAGCTAATTAAATTTTGATAATTATATCAAGATAAAATTATTTTAGATTCAGTAGTTAATATTGATCGAAATTGAAATATTTAATTCTGATGAATAAAACGTCCCTATTAAGTAGTTATTGAATACAAATTTCAATCAAATCTTTAAAATATATAATCAGTAAATCACGAATAAAGAAGATAAAATGTAATTAATTTTGTTCATAAAAAATATAACAAAAAAATTTATATAATAAAATATTTGTTATACTCAAAATTAATATATAAAGCTTTCAATACCGATACGTTATCTTTATAATTGGTGCTAAGATTATAACTTTTCTCCTTTTTGTATAATTCTAGAATAGCCAAAAACAGTTAATCCTATATAATCTGTACAAGATGCGATCCGTCAAAATTTTCCTTATCTGTTATTCCGTCACTATTCGAAACTTCACCTTACCAGAAAGCATTGATAGCATGGGAGAATGTGTGGATAAATTAAAATCAAGAGAGATTGGTTCGGTAGTCTTACAGCAAGACCTCGAAGAAAATTAATGATAAGCAAAAAGAGTTAGATACCATGAATTTCGTTTCATTATCAGCCGTAATAATGTTGCTTTTAAATTTTTTTTTAAAAAAAAACGAAAATGATGTTGGATATTCTAAAACACTTCCATCAGAATTAATTCGTCCGATTGTTCATCATTTAAAAAATGATAAAAAATCCTTGCTTATTAGTTTCTCGAGATTGGCGTAAAGAAACGGTAGATTTATTATGGAGCGAGACAGACATTTCATTTCTTATAAATTTACAATAAAACAAATTCTTCAGTTTTTTCACGATTTACAAATTTAAGGAATGTCACTGTTCAAATGAGAAACTTCAACATGATCAAGCCACTCGCTAAGATAACTCGCCGCGTATATGGCCAACGAAAATTATGTAACTCGTTAATATAATTGATGATCATGACATCATGTGATTATTTAGGAGCTACGAGTTTTGTGTAACTCTATAAATGGCCGAAAACAGTTAATCTGTACATGATGTTTAAGGCGTTGTGATACGTCTAAATTTTCCTTATCTGTAATTTATTCCGTCATTATTCGGATTTCGTTTCATTATCAGCCGTAATAATGCTGCTGTTAAATTTTTTCAAAAAAAAAAACGAAAATAATGTTGGAAATTCTAAAACACTTCCACCAGAATTAATTCGTTCGATTGTTCTTCATTTAAAAAATGATAAAAAATCTCTTCATTCTTGCTTATTAGTTTCTCGAGATTGGTGTAAAGAAACGGTAGATTTATTATGGAAACAACCATTTCATTTCTTATACACTTGCAATAAAATAAACCCTTCAGTTTTTTCACGATTTAAAAATTCTAAAC